AACATTCAAAACCTGAAGGCCTCTTGTGGAACTCAAAGTCGATGGTAGGGGCCCTTCAAAGAAATTATCCTGCACATATAGGCGTTCCATGGACATACAAGTGTCGATACTGCTCGGGATCCGTTGAGATAATCTATTCCCGTCAAGACGTAGTTCGCCGAGATTTTTCAAATTTCCAACTTCTCTTGGAAGGGAGCCAGTAAGACTAGTTTGAGACAAGTCGAGATAAATTGACAAAGATGAGAGGGCCACAATTTCCGGCGGTATGTTACCGCTGAGGTCATTGGTCGAAAGGTCCAAGAAAAGTAGATTATGACAGTTTCCTAGAGACGATGGTATTGAGCCCCGGAGATTATTCTTACGCAAGGATAATTTAGTTAACATCCTTAAATTCCCGATAGATTCTGGTATCTACCCCAAGAATTTATTGTGTTCGAGAGACATAATGTTCAATTTGTTCAAATTTCCGATCTCGGAAGGAATGTTTCCCGAGATGTTGTTGCCCACCACTCCTAGAGTCTCCAAATTGATGAGATTTCCTATTCCAGAAGGTAAGGTTCCAAAAATATCATTGTAACTTAATGAGAAAAAAGAAAGGGTGATAGAGAGGTTACCAATAGAGTCGGCGATTGGTTCTCCAAAAGCATTGTGATTTATAGCCAATAATTTCAAGTTTGTGGAATTGGTTAAAGAGCAGAGGAAGTCAAGATCAGTAGATTGTCCACCTCCTAATTTGCTTTCGCCAATAGCAAACTCATAGAGTCCTCTCATCTTTGAGAAAGAAGGAACTTTCCCTGTAAAGTTGTTCGACAAGATTTCGAAATTTTCAAGATTAGAGGCGTTGGATATTAACTCAGGAATGGGTCTGATGAGGTGGTTGTTAGTCAGATAGATTGACTTGAGATTTGGAAGAGTGAAGCCTAAATCACTGGGTAAGCTCCCCTCTAATTGGTTTTCATTCACATCAAGGACTGTCACAGTTGATATATTGAAGATTGAGATAGGAATAGTACCGAAAAATTTGTTGAAGCCGAGGATGAGGATGTTTAGATTTCTCATCCGACCAAGAGTCTCCGGGATCATACCACCGAGGTTATTTGACAATGTTGTCAAGGTTACAAGAGAGGATAAGTTTCCAAACGATGGCGGAACATTTCCAGTCAAGCTATTGACATGAAGTATGAGTGCTCGGAGCTTGGATAAGGAGCCGAGATCTGTAGGCAAATTTCCTTTGAGCCTGTTGACACCTAAATGAAGAACGAACAAATTAGAGCAATGGGAGAGATTTGAAGGGATTTGTCCGCTGAATGAGTTGTTATTAAGGTACAACTTCTGCAACCGAAACAAGCTGCCGAATTGCGGGGGAATTTCGGAGTAAAAACTATTGTTCTGCAAATAGACTTTCCTTAGAAAGCTTAGGTTACCAATATGGGGTGGCATGACCCCGGCCAGGTTCTTGGAGCCGAGGTCCAATACGGTGACTCCGCGGTGTCCACGACCACATGTGACACCGTACCATTCGCAGATGTGGCGATTAGCTATTTGGGACTTAAATTCCAGTAGAGCTAGCTGATCAGTCTCGTCCTCGCCGGCTTCTACCAAAGCTAGGACACTTCCTAACAGACGAATGATGGTAGTCAAGCATGAGAATAACCCAGGTAAAACTTGCTCTCTATTGGGAAGGTCCATGAGGATTTGTAGCAAAATGCTCTCAGCTCGAGTCTCTTTCGATTTTCATGCGATGTTGTTTCGAAACAATTTGTGAATATATAACAGCTGGCAGCATGATCTCCCATACTAAGACATGTTGATGTCATCAATGCAAGAATAGTCATGATATATTTTTTTTATGGTCCTCTCAAGTTGAAAAATTACAAGGCCGTGACATGGAAGATAACTATTGATGATCAAGTCAGTCAATGAAAGCTGAAAGCACCATGGGGACATACTTTTTTCATTGTCAGTTCTGTCTTTCCGATCCCTGAATTTATGGGCCGTTTAGTAGGGGCGATGACTTTAGTCTTTTTCACGCATATAAAATCTTGATTTTCTAGTACGCAGAGGCAGAACAATATTAATCGTACATGTAAGTAGGTCTATTTCACAATTTATTATCAACACTACTTTCATTTGTCAATTATAATATATATCTTTTCTATAAATTATACATTTTGGAATTATTATTAAAATTGAAAATAGTGCTTATATATCAAGAGAGAAAAACTATGGTGAAGAAAAATTTATTAAAAATATTACCTCTAAGATTAATGTTGTACCGGTGTTTAACTTCTTATATTAATATGCAAATTGAATTTTGCTTCTCGAGTACTTATAGATGAATTATTAATTGATAGTAACAAAGCCCACGCTATTATATTATATATGATCTTTAACATTTTAATATAGTCATATTGTTATTTAAAAAATTATTGGAATTATAAAAAACTTGTTACGTATTTAATCCCAAAGGTATATAGCTAGTCAAAAAAGGTAAACAAGTTGTAGTTGGCATATGATATTTAATTGAAAAAATGCAATAGTTCAAGTCACGTAAACGATCCTTAATAGACCAAAAAAAAGAAGTAAACGATCATTCTTCTCCTTGTTCTTCATTGACAAGATGTAATCGAGATAGTTCATATGGAAAAAGTTGTGAGAACGTCAATCTATTTCGTTCATCCAACCTTTCGTTCACTCTTATTTCCCTGGAATCAAGGAATTATAAAGAAAAACCCAATCAGAGAAAGTCATAATACTGGATTTTAGCTAATTATTAACACACACCACGTGTCCTTACTAGATCTTACTGGTTACTTGCGCGTGCCTGACGAGTGAAGATGATCCCTTGGTAACATACGATCCGCATATTGCTGGGGCATTGAAAATAGGGTGTTCAGCGTTGTACTTTCCAAAAGAAAAAGTAGATAAAAAGACCATAAAAAGAAGGTGGGAATTCATAGCTGTTCACAAGTAAGTAGCAAGCTACTTAGGCGCATCGCCTCAAAGTGCACGGCAAGCCAACTTTGCCTCCCACATTGACCATCTCCACGTAAAGGCCCATTCGATCGTAATTGGATTAACTTCCTTTAATTGACTCCAAATTATCCTTTAATTAGCCGTGACGTTCACCCAAAAAAAATGAAAAAAATATTTTTACGGTCGTCCAATCTTTTTGGTGCGATATAACTAAAAAGAATTTGTTTTTTCTAGCAATCATTTAAGACCGATTAGAACTAGACAAACAAAAAATGAACATTAACCATATTGGGAATAAGACTGTAATTGGGAAATAATTAAGATTCTTGTCGCACGACGTGATTTTTGTCCATGGGGAATCAAACAAGAATGGCATGGGAAGGCAATGTGATTGGGTGACGTGGGACAAAGAGGGAACCGTGGAATTACTTTGTGTCTTTTGTACTAACTATGCATTCTTTAAGCAAAGTATTCGTCCACAAATTTAAATTTTATATTGGATTAGATTTCTGCGACTTGTAATATGGGATTGTAAACATCACCCCTACACCATAGAATTTGTAAGAAGAGAAATACTAATTAAGTGTAGTACGCTAAAATTTTGTTAGTGTGTTCGTAGTAATTAAATAGTATGATAAAAAAAATTGAGGATGGAAAGAATAAGTTGGTGATGAAAATAGAATAGTGAAAAGTGCAACAGTTCTTGAATAAGGTATGTCAGGTCCTATTAATTAAATTCGAAGCTGAAGGGATTTAATTAGAAAAGCAATACAAATTCAATGACTTGATGAGACAAACTAGAAGTTAAGAGGATTAAAATGCTCAAATTTCGGGATCAAAAGTATAGTTTTATCATTTTAATAAAGCATACAGGGGATCTGAAACAAGTTTGAACAATAAACAAATGTATATTTTTGAAGCGTGACTACAGGGACAAACCGAGTTAATCAAAGGAAGGATCACACTACTCTGCCAACGACATGCATGAGCGTGAACTTGAAGAAGAGAGGATCAAGTTATGTATGTGACTAGTAGGGTCCTATGCAATTTGGGTCGGGTTCGGGTCTGAAAGAACGCAAATCTCTTATGAGTCGGATAGTACGAAACCCGACCCTACCCATTGACACCCCTAGTGACTAGCTCTGAGACAAAAGAAACAACTGTAAAGAAAGTCGCAAACGATATCATAAAAAAGACAGAATGTTCTATGAAGCTCTACTTGAAAAATTTCCCAATAGTTTGGCAAAATTCCCATTGAGCACATTGATGAAGTTGCAAATTTGATCTCCAAATTTTTTCGACACTCATAGCGGGATAAGAAAAATATTCATTTACGGAGCCATTGTTGAGAATGGACAATAACCTTAACCAAGTCACTACAGAGGAAAAGACTGCCAACTGAAAAGGAGATGATCAGATCCAGTTTTTGCTTCATGCCAAGAGTATACCACATCTAGGAGCCAGAGTCAATCTCAGATTGGAGCAAGCACAACTTCTAACCGAATTAGAGGAAAATACAACATCAATCACAGATGACAGGCTGAAAGTGCGCGGCAACGATCATTAATGCAGAAGTGCAAGTTGATGCACGCACAGCTGCCCAAGCCAAAAGAATTATGTGTTGACAAGCAAAACTGCCGATTCAGACGGAGAGCCGTCAATACACCTGAAAGGGAAACTTATCCAGGAAATCTAACAAGATAGCAGCACCATTCACACGGAGAAGACACAGACCAGCGATCTTCCACTGAAAATGGTGATAAGAGACAGGAGATCGCTAGGAAGAAGGCAATGCAAATCAAATTGCCATGCTCATCAAAGCTTCCAAAAGATCTCCAGAGAAAGTAACTCCTCTATCGATACAATGTGTAGAAGATGAGACGGAATTTGACGGAGTTAATTGCATATAGGAATAGCCTCTTGAGGCCGAAAGTAACGGGACATGAGAGTTACGGGATCGACCATGTACCAAAAACACCACAAACAGCCAAAAATCCTGCCAAAAGCTTAGGAAAATGCTGCAGGCCAAAATGAATTTGAGAAAGGAAGTTGAAGCCTCTTTAAACGTCCTACGGGGATTTGATACTGATATTTCCCATGAAGTAAATGAAATCAAGGTATTGAAAAGTTTTTCCAACTTGAATGCCGTGAATATAATAAATATGTATCATCCGTGCAGTTCTTTGAGCCTTTTCTACTGCAAAAGAACTTGAGATAGTTAGCTAAAGATGATGGTTCTACTTATGTTTCATCTCCTCTCTTTATAAAGTAGTATCAACTGTAATCAATTATATACTTCCCGTAGACATCTGTTGCATCAACAAGCGAAAGAACAATGATCAGGTTTGCAGAGCTCAAGCAGAAAAGATATTGGTTTCCTTTGATGGTAATTGTTTCACTCGAATCAATCTTGAACTTTATTATCTCATAACTTGACATCTTGTCCTTTCTTGTGTCAAATATATGTATTGCAGGTAGGTGTAGGACTACTTATGCTCCGGCAACTCAGTGGCATTAATGGCGTTTTATTCTATTCCACCACAATATTTGAAAATGCAGGTGGCTACTGATTGTGTTGCATTGCAGCCTATATTTCATTTAATTAGAGTGAAAAAGTGTATTTAGTAGAACCTGCAACTTGAAATCTTTCTATTTCTAGAATGTTACTGTTAAGGAATTAGCCAGAAACTATTCATTGTGCTCTTCTCTGCAGAAAGATTGCATTTGTCTGTACTTCTTTTCTAATTGAGGATGCAGATATCACATTATGTTGGGTTTATTTAAACAGATTAGTAATCAAATGTTTTCTTTCGCTATTTAAATAGACTTAAATAGAGGACTGTCCATTGAAGTTCGAGTAATCGAATGCTTTCTGTCGAAAGAATTGATTGATATTAATTATGAATAGTTCAATCAATTAGCCTATTTCGTTCCCTGAGGATGCTACTGGCAGATTCTACAAGCCTGTGAAGAAACAAGAAATTTCTCTTCTAGATTCTGCTTTATTTAGGATGAGCAAAGGCATATTGATCCTTGCTGTTGTTCCAAATATCATCCATTGACGGATTCGACCCAATAAAGCTTCTCTTGGTTGATTAGGCTTCCAAAAATGTGCATTGATTTTCACTAGGTATTTCTTCAAGTGATGTAGCAACTGTTGGAGTCGGTGCTATCCAGGTAAATTGGCGATTCTCTTGGTGGTTTTCTGCAGCAGTTAAACAGTGCAAAACACTTTAGACCTAATGAGAAGTGTAAGGACCTTTCATGCTGTAGGTTCTTGCCACTGGGGCTCCCACTTGGCTCCCAGACAAAGCAGGCCGAAAGCTGCTTCTAATAGTGCGTATGCCTAGATTGCCACTAAAGTTAAGATTCTCTAAAACACGCTCAAATTGGGTATCTAAATCTGTTTTTGCAGGTATCCTCATCCGCAATGACTTTGAGCCTTCTTTTTGTGGCCATAGCGTTCTATATGGAGGTCAGTAATGCTGTTAGTACAACCCTTTGGTTTCTGAGGCAATGGCTGCTTGTTGAGGCATTGTTCTTGCATATTCCAGAGTTCTGCTTCAGAAGACTCTAAACTGTACAGCATAATGGGGATATTGTCAGTCGTTGGGGTTGTGGTATGACAATTTACACTCACTGTTTGTGCTTATTCAAGTGCTTAATAAGTTTAAGGGTATGTTTTGAGCGTCATTACATCCAGGCTCTTGTGGTTGCCTTCTCTGTGGGAATGGGACCTGTTCCTTGGGTTATCGTATCTGAGGTAAGCACAATTTACTTATTTTTCACTATATCCAAGAGTATAGAATTCTCCTCCAGGTTGAACACTCAAAGTCTTGTGATTCATAGATCCAAACTCAAAATTCTCTTCTTTTGCATGTCAGATTTTTCCGGCGAATATTAAGGGCCTCGCCGGCAGCATGGCAACATTGGCAAACTGGTCAACAACGTGGGCGATCACGTTGACAGCAAACTTGCTGTTGGATTGGAGCGCCGGAGGTTCTCTCTCCCTCGCTTCCTCTCCCTACCTCCCTCTCCCCCAGTAGCACGCTCTCTCATGCTTTAACACTTGCTGCTGACTGACATTGCCTTTGCAATTTTCGACAGGTACCTTCACAATCTACGCAGTCGTAGCAGCTTGTACTGTTGTCTTTGTGATACTCTTTGTCCCAGAAACAAAGGGAAGAACTCTGGAAGAGATTCAGTCGTCGTTTGAGTGATTCTTGCCTCCTGGTGTCACATTGATTTTTGCTGCTGTATAATCTAGTAGAGGTGTGGGAGCATCAAATTCCATTGATAACAACTCAGAAGCCCACCTCAAACCTCATCAATCAGCCAAGAACATTTGATATCTATTTAAATAAAGGGAGATCTAGGCCATAACTTGACCCAATGGATCCAATTAGAAGAAGGCCTCCGAGATGAACTCTTAGAAATTGAAGAATGAATGCCGCTTCAGCTGGGTTAAGACAGGAGGGTTATTTAATTTTTAAAAAGGTTTTCTAATTTGATTAAGCTTCCTAGTTAAAGCTGGTTTCCTAGTTTTTTTTTTTGGTCGATAAGTTAGTTTCCTAGTTTGAGTGGTCTTCTAAATTAATGTTTAGTCCGTTTAATTTTTCCTAGTCTAAGTCCATCGATAAATAGGAGGAGCATTCTCTATTGTAAGCATGCAGATTTTGATTTGACAATATATAAGAATTCATCTCGAGTGAGTAGTTCCTTCGGCTCTTTATGCAGTTCTTTGGTGATGAACCTTCAGGTGACTGACCTTGAAATCCGGGATGCTTTTTTCTCTCTTTCGAAAGGTAAAGCCCCTGGACCTGATGACTTCAATGTGGACTTCTTTTTATCATCTTGGGATATTGTTGGACCTTCAGTCACTTTAGCTATCAAGGACTTCTTCCAATCCGGCTCCTTGCTCAAGGAGACCAATGCTACCATTCTCACCTTGGTGCCCAAGGTCCCCAACGCCTCATCCATGAATGAATTCCGGCCGATTGCCTGTTGTAACACGGTTTACAAATGTATTACCAAGATATTGGCCAATAGAATTGCTGCAGTGCTGCCTGCCATTATCAGTCCCACTCAGAACGCTTTTGTCAAGAAGCGGCGAATTGGGGACAACATTCTTCTTGCACAAGAACTCTTTGCGGGATTTCATCATGACCCGTACTTGCCAAAATGCGCCATTAAAGTTGATTTTCAAAAGGCATATGACACCGTTGACTGGATTTTCCTCCAACGGACCTTGCAAGCCTTTGGGTTCCCCTGTATGACTATCGAGCTTATTATGCAGTGTGTGACGACCCCGAAATTCTCAGTTGCAATTAATGGAGCTCTCCACGGTTTCTTTCCTAGCGGCAGAGGATTACGACAAGGGGACCCGATGTCTCCTTACCTCTTTACTTTGGTCATGGAAGTCTTCATCGGAATTCTGGTAACCCAATCTCGTCTCCCTGGTTTCAAGTTTTTCTGGCGGTGTAAGTCCACATCTCTCACCCATTTGTTTTTTGCTGATGATGTTCTGTTATTTTCGGAGGCAAACGACACTTCAACTGCCCTTCTTAAGAGTGGCCTGGATCTTTTCTCCCAGTGGTCGGGACTTAAGCCAAATGTCAACAAAAGCGAGATATTCTTCTCGGGTGGTTGTCCTTCTTTCAGGAACCGTATTTTACACTCATTTGGCTTCATCGAAGGTACGCTTCCTTTCCGTTACCTTGGAGTCCCTATTTCTGCCTCCAGATTGGGTAAGAATGACTGTAACTCGTTAGTCAATGCTATCACGGCTAGAGCTCGCTCTTGGACTCAGAGATTCCTTTCGTTTGCGGGACGTCTTCAACTTATAAAATCTGTTCTCCATTCTGTTCAAGTCTACTGGGCCTCTATTTTCTGTCTTCCACGTTCTGTCCTTGCAAGAATCGAATTGATCCTTAGACAGTTCCTATGGAAGGGTCCAGACTTGGGGGTGGGGGGTGCCAAAGTCTCTTGGACTGATGTTTGCCTACCTAGGTCTGAAGGTGGACTTGGTATTCGTAGACTTATCGACTGTAACCGTGTAGCTATGCTTAAGCACATCTGGGTCCTTTTCACGGACAAGGAATCTTTATGGTGCAAATGGATTCATTCCAATTTTCTCAAATCGAAGAACTTTTGAGTCGCCCCTAAACCTACGGTGTGCTCCTGGGCCCGGAAGAAAATCTTAGATCTCCGTTTCGAATTTCAGCAGCAGTTCAAATGGAGAATTGGCAATGGATCTTCCACTTCTTTCTGGTTCGACTTCTGGCGTGATAAAGGCCCACTCTATAAATTGTTCTCTAATAGAGACATATTCTGCTCTGGCATTGCAAGAACGGCCTCGGTTAGGGATTTCCTATCCTCCGAATGGCACCTGTCTAACGTGATTCAATCCTTCAATTCCTGGACTGAACATACCCCCCAGCTGGTGACGGAGTCGCTGGACCAACTTTTTTGGCAAGGTCATCCTTCCGGAGTGTTCTCTCTTTCCTCGGCCTGGGAATTAACTCGGAAAAAGGGACACCATGTCTACTGGGATTCATTCATTTGGGACTGCAGTTTTGCCCCGAGACATAGCTTTTTGCTATGGCTGATGACCCTCAACAGGCTTCCGACCTAGGTCCTCCTCCTTTCCTATCACAGAATCTCTGAAGGACTTTGTGCTTACTGCCAAGGTAGGCTAGACTCCGTTGATGACCTGTTCTTTGGTTGCACTTATACGGGCTCTTTGGCGTCATTTTTGGCCGCCAAATTTAATCTCCCTTGGCACAACGGGTCTTGGCAACATTTTCTCCGCTGGGCGTCCACATCCATTGCCGGCAACAGCTTCCATCACCGCCTTGCTCGGTTTGCACTTGGAGCTCTATGCCACCTCATTTGGATAGAGCGCAACAACTTCCTATTTAGAAATGAGACCATTTTCCTGCCTGCGATGCGGAACCATCTTGTCAAAGCTGTTCGAGATAAGGCTCTTTCTCTCAAGCCTGTTGCAGATACTCCGCGCAATAGAAGAATCCAGGCCAGCTGGGATATCCCGACATCTATTTTTCTTAATGTTTTGTAGTTGTTGTTCCTTTGTGGCTCTTCAGTCCACTTGTTAGAGGTTCAGCTCATTCTTCTTAACACCCGGGCCCCTGCTACTTGTAGCGCCCGCTAGCTTTAGTCAGCCACTACACCTTTGCACCTATCGCAACTCCTGTGTTGCGTTAGGTACGAGGTTTTTGTGTTCGGCTATTCTGCTGTATCTTGTGAATTGAAAAGTATATAATCCTCTTACCTTACCAAAAAAAAAAAAAACCTTAAAATCCTTATCCTGCGTTGGTGGAACATTCCTTTATGTCTTGACAGTGAACTCTTCCATCCAAAGTTATTTTCCCTCACACACACCAAACACTTTCGCTCTACCAAACACGTTCGCCATTCTCGCAAACTCATCACGCATCAGCTGGCTCGAAATTTTTTATTTCACACAATCTCGAAATTATTCATATTGAGTATGAGTTCTGTCCCGAATTGGATTCATCCATTCAATCTAAAGATGATTTACGAACATTTTAAAAGAAACATAGACCTAAATGAACTAACTGAAAGTTTGAAGAAGATATTGCGCATTGATTAAAGATTCGGGAATCTTGTCGAAGCAATTGAAAATTTAAGAACGACATTGTACGTTGACGAAATTTAAGGACCGGCAATCTCATTGCCCCTCAGATATTTGAGAATTTTACGATTATCGTGTCTAGATGATTTTTCTGTCCCACCATATCACAGTAAGAGTTTCGATTTATCGGTTTGTTTTTTTTTTAGGAGACACTTGATATTTCATTTTGTGCTTCCAGTCAGGCTATTGTTAGGTATATAGTGTTAGGTATTTAAATTCAGGTGTGATTTGAGAAGTGCCGTTGCATCACTGACCAGTGGATGATCTTTTTGTTTTTTTGGGCTAAAAAGGTCGATCTTCATATATTAATCAACTGCAATAAAAACCTAATTTTCCGACAGCTAGTCATGTTATTACTTTTTCCGGCATACCTAATTATTCGGACTATAATGTCTCCCGAGCCTTTTAAAAAAAATCAAAGCACAAATTTAAGTACTCTAACTACTGGTATCGACTCCTTTCTTCCTGTTTTTTTTATTTTTATTTTCTCTTTGTGGATCTATCTCGCAAAAAAGTATCGTTGTGTTCGATGAAAAGGTCTAAATGTCCTTATCGTGCAAATTTCGAGAAACAAATAACGAAAATGCCTTTTCAAATATTTCAAAGTTGAAAAGAAAAACTTGTGTTACATGAAAGTCATGTTTACTAGCAAATTAACCCGCGCGTTGCCGCCGGACAGAAAAGATTTAATAATCGCAACATTCGTAATCTTTTTGTTACGCTGGAAATTTGGCATTGTAGTTCGCTCAATCGTTTTTCAATTTTTCAACATTTGTAGCACCCTCTATAAATCTCAATCTGTCTAAATATATTTTTTAATAAAGTTTAGACGGTTTTATATACGTAATCAAGATATTTGAAGATTCTTCTATCAACCAATGAAAAATAACTTCAAAATTACCTTTATACGTAAGCATTCGTATAAGTTTAGAGTTGGAAGACTTATTAAAATGATAACTTCCAAGGCCACCCATGTTTTCTCACACTAAAAACAATGTGATAGTTTTAAAATGATATCTCGTGTTCCGCTAGATATTTTGATGACTCGATTAGTAAAAAAAAAATTGATAAGGTTAGGTGTCTCCTTTGCATATAATGAAGTCACAATCATGTATAAAGACATATTAGCATGCAATCATCATTATTATTTCAAATTGTTTTTTTAAATAGGGTCGACTTGTTTTATTTAGGAACTTAAATAGAGACTTTGACACTTATAAATTGTTAAGGTCAAATTTTGTAATAGCATTTTCAGTTGTGACCTTATGATTATGCAAAAAATTGATGAAAGAAAAGGAGTTAGATAATATAGCTTGAAAGTAAAAATAAAAAAAAATTGATAAAAAAGAGTGGCAGAAAGGAGGAGAAGAAACAAATGGCAAAAGTTAATGTTTGAAATAGAAGTTATCAGTCCAAAATAAAATAAAAGTTAAAATAAAAAAAAAGAAAACGAAAATGAGGGATGAAGTGACAAATGTGATATGTCTTTCTAAAAATCATCTCTAATATATATATAATAGATAAATAGACGTGTAGGTATTTTTTGTTTTTTTTTTTTCCAAAAGATGCATTAATAATTGAAAAAGGAAAACTATGAATTTTGTTTATTTTATAAAAGATAAAAGTGAGTGGGAATGTGTAATGGAAAAATGGTGAGAGTTGGGAATGCTCTCTACCCTCCTCTCTGCAAGGAGGGTTTAGTATCTTTTCACCAACAACATACTCGTGCTTCGCTGCACGCTATCTTTTTTTTATTGACATACTTCATTCATACTAATTTTTAAGATATAACATAAAAATAATGATGATAGAACCTTATACTTTGTAATTTAACTTGAGAAATACAATGAACGAAGCCAATTCTTAGAGGTCTCAAATTACTAAGTACACACATCATAAATAAAACTAGACAGTCATTTATAATTTCAATTCGCTCAACTATGCTTGACAAATATAAAGATGATCAAAGATAGCAAGTGATAAATTAAAATAACAAAGCAATGATGTAAATTGGGTTAGTATGTTAATTTTCTCCAATGGGTGATGTTGTTCAATTAGCCTACACAATAGGCATTACAAGCACTCCTAGTGGTTATTTTACTTCCATTTATGAATTTAAAGAAAATTAAATTCTCAGTGATGATAAAAAATGATAACTAAATTTGTAGATATCAAATACAAATTGATTGGATTTCTGTGGAATCATGCTTTAATATTAGAACTTATTGGGCGTTAAAATTTAAATTAACTTTTTTTGGTAGAAAATTTAAATTAACTTAATAAGATAAGGAAACTAGAAAAACAAAGCGGTAAAAAATAAAAAGGAAAAGGTTGAAATTATTTGCTTCATATTATAATATACGAATCTTTTTGAAAGGAATAAAAAAAATGGGGAATAGTAAAAAAAATCTAAAGTCCACTTGCATTAATTCTACACTCTCACTAATTCCCTAAACCCCCCCCCCCCCCCCCCTCCCAATTTTAGATTCAATCCTAATTCTGCCCCGAACTTTTTTTTTTGTCTAAAAAAACCCCCAACTTTCCCTTTACTCCCAAGTGAACTCAAAGATATACAATCTTATAGTCAGTAATTTACAATCAAAATTTATTGTTTCTTAATCTATTGGCTCCCATTGAATAGGACCAATCCCGTATTTTCCTACACGAGGCCACAATATTTTCCCTTCTTTGAATTACTATAATTACTATTTGAATTAAGTAGTTTTTTTGAAATTCATTTTTTTAAAATTTTTCCTAAGGCATTTTAACGAGTACATTTTGATGCTACGGAATAAGTTTGTAATGCTTTCTACATGAAATTGCACACACAAAATAACAACCTTCTCAAAATTCAAGCCGTGCAATACTAAGGCTAGTGGCTGGCCACCATTCTCTCATGAATATATTTAGAGAGTAATCTAGCCTCATTGAGCCAATACAGTGATAAGGTTGAGCTCATCTCCATTCTTTTATTTGGAGCATAAACTTCGACTTAAGCTTGATCGAATATAAATTTCATCCATGAAATCAACTAAAACAGAAAATCGAGATATTCGATCTAATTTCTCTCAACTCAATTACAATCAAGTTGTAAAGGAACTCCAGCTCAAGTTCTTCGAACTTAATAAGCTCAAATATTTTCCTATGTGTATATATTTATTTATATGAGTATAAACGTAAATTTAAGGATTCTCATATCTTTTTATACCTAGAAAGTAATTTTAAAGGAAATAGTATATGTTGGATTAGATTAAGCAAGTATGTTGAACTAGTATTGGCTAGCTTGATCTTCACTCGACTAAATATTCGAGTAATTTGAGTTCGAGTTCGATTCAAAATTAAAGGCAAGTGGAGTTTGAGTTACTCGTGAATAGTTCGACTCAGATTCACCCCTACACATTTTCATTTGGTAAAACTTCTTATTAATTCCAACGAGTCATGCAACTTCTCATTATTTAATGAATACAATGTTTGATATCTAAATCTATAGTGACTAGCATATTCGTATATAAAATTTTCATTCATCTTTTAAAACTTTGGACCATTTGTAATTTTGAAAACAAAGTAAAAATTTGGGAGAAGGACACTAGAAGTACCAAAAATTGTGTGCGGCGCTTACTTTAGTGTCAAATTTTTTTTTTCGGACCACTTAAGTATCACTTTTAAAAAAAAACGATCACTTAAGTGCCAACTCCGATCATGGTCGCCAGAAATCCGACATTGCCATTTTTTTATTAATTTTTCCGTCCCACGTGGCTCGCTGGTGCGCCCAGTCAACATTAATTATCCCAAACGATGTCGTTTATGTGTTTTCCCCAAATGTAAACCCTAATTGTTATTTGCAAACAAAATTAGGCCAAATTAGGGTTTTTGTCCAAATTAGGTTTGTTTCTTCAATCTGCAAAAGATTAAAGAAGATGAAAAAGGCGGAAGATGATGAGTTGCTGATGAAGATGAGAAGGTAATGAAGGCCGTGCTTCAATCGTGACAATTGAAGCTAGCAACGAAGGGGAAGAGAAGCTGTGTTGCTGCCATCCTTATAGCTGAGTGCTCTCACTTGCTTCTGCCCCGAAAATCCTCATATCTGGAACCTCAAACCATTTAGTACAAGATATCCCAACTCGCACGCCAAATCGAGCGTGAAGCCCAAGCTTACCTCGACAAAGACAACATTTGCAGGTTCGTCCGTACGCTAGACCAGTCGGAGGATGAAGGGGAACAAGTAATGGTCTTGACCGAGCTCGAGGAAAGACCATCCCGAGGCTTCGACAGAGTTAACCAAGACCTGATCTTGAAAGCCAAGGTGTTTCAGTTTCTTGAATCGGTACTCTGCGACAACACTTGTTCAAAAACCATAAGAGAGCAAGCGGCTCAAGTGACGGTAGCTCTGATTCAGTTCAGCTGGATCATGTTCATGGGGTTGGTGCTGATGGGTTCGACTCCCGAAGCGTTGATTTCGATGGGCTCGTGTTGTTCCATCGAAGTGCTCACTTCGCCACGGCACTCGTGCGAAGCCCCTTGATTGACGAGATCAAATCGCTCTGGCGTGCGAGTTGGGATATCACATCGAAGCCGTTGACGTCAAGCATCGCTGAGAATCCAAGATCTCTCTTCTCGGCTTCGATTCGACTCAGGCGTTTTGAGTTTCTCAGCTTCAATCTCCTTTCTTCTTTCCCTCTCTTTTTCCTTCTCAGCAAATTTTCCTAGAAAATGGAAGATGTATTGAACGATTCTTTCTCAATCATGTTGGTGAGTTTCTCTCTCTTCAATTTGTCCACATTGGACTCATTTTTAATATAAAAATGCCACGTCAGATTATACATTTAATTATAAAAGCCACGTATTATTTTTTGCTGAAATTTATCGCCGGAAATACTTAAATGATCGTTTTTTCTCCGATTTGGTACTTAAGTGATTCGGCGAAAACTTTTGGAACTAAAGTGAGGGCCGTACACAATTTTTTGCACTTCTAGTGTACTTCTCTTGTAAAAATTTGCAATTTCTTTTTAAGAAAATTAAAACACGCTTATCTGAAGGATCATTTTGGGCTCTATTTATTTCGTGAAAAATGAACGATTTGGGAAACAGTTTCCTAAAAATGATAACTTGTATCGTTTAAAATAATTAGTTAATAAAAAATATTTTTATTATCAATAACAATTTATGTATATACATTTTCGTGAATGATGGAAATATTTTTTGTTCATTCATTTTTATAAGTGATATAAGTGAAAAATGAATGATTTGAAAAACATTTCATAAAAATGATCGTTTGTATCATTTGAAATAATTAGTTTATGAAATATAATTTCATTATCGATAATAATTTATATATAAATATTATCATAATTGTCGATAATAATATTTTATTTATTTATTTATTATATAAGCAATCATTTTTAAGAAAATATTTTTTAAATTATTTATTTTGGCTACACGGTTCGCATTTTCTGTTACCGTATTTTGATAAATACAAGAAAAGGAAAAAGACAAGCATGCAACGGGATCGCCGCAGTCTTTTAATTTCAAGACACGCGCCATCTGAGGATCAGCACTGCCACCTTCGTGTGCCACCATCTCCCCCTGCTTCCACACCACTAGTCAAAGATTCACAGTCCTTCAAGATTCAAGTCTCACTTCGCATCGCTCTCTAGCTCACTCGAGCTAAGGAGGAGGAAGAAGAAGCAGCAGCAGCAGCAGCAGCATCTTCTGAAGAAGCTGTCAGCCACGAGCTTCAACATGGGCGCCCTTGAAGACGCTGAGGTCGGGAGGGACCTGAGGAAGCCACTCCTCCACACAGGGGTGTGGTACACGAGGCAGGGGAAGGCGTCGGGGCAGTCCAGCCTCTCCGGATCGGCCAAGATCCTCCGTGGCGGCTCCGTCTCCGTCCTCTGCGTGTTGACAGTTGCCTTAGGCTCTATTCAGTTCGGATTCTCTGTAAGCCCGAATTTGCCTAATACGTTCTGATTCTATCTATCTATCTGTCCATCCATCTACCTACCTATCTATCTATTCATCGGCGAGTTTCGTGGTTGTGTAATTCTTGTGCTGTTTCGTCTTTCAGTGTGGATATTCGTCTCCTACGGAGGAGGACATAATGAGCGACCTAAGCCTTTCGCTCTCGCAGGTTCGACTTGCTTCAGGATCTTTCTGTTTTGGTTTTGGATCTGCTTTTGATTTTTAACCGACGCGATTTCTTCTTGATTGCGGTATAATGGTGGATATAGTATTCGATATTTGGCTCCTTGGTGAATGTGGGAGATATGATTGGGGCAATCATGAGCGGCCAGATGGCGGAGTACATCGGTCGGAAAGGGGTATGCCACTTATTTCGATCAGCTGCCATTTTCATAGGAGTTTCTTGTGTCATTTGTCTTAGTCAAATCTAAGCAATTTCAGGGTAGCTTTTAGTTCTTTTGGCTTTTTGCTTTTTTGCTGAAACTATTCTTTGGATAATGTGACTGAATTTTGGAAAATAGCAGCATTGAACAGCCGACATCCTGAAAAAAAATAAGAGGCCTAATTCTCTAAAAAACCCCAAACTTTAGGTGTTGTCCCAAATTTACCCTAAACTTTTTTTTGTCTCATAAAAAATCACAAACTTTTATTTTAAACCCAAATCTGCCCTAGGTTGATTTTCTGTCCAAATGTTGACAATTTTTTTCCAACTTGTCATCCACGTGTCTATCTTCTTTTCCCACGTTAGCTTGGGTTGACTGTTTCTTTCTTTCTTTTTGTTTTTTCATTCTCTTCTCCCTTTCACTTTCCGCCATGGACAACGAGAGCACCATCAAGAACACAGAGAAAGCCCAGGTGCTGCCACACGCCGGTCACCGCCGCAACAGCTTGCGTGCACGTTGCCACGACTTCCTCGTCACCTCGTCGTTATTGTAAGCCCAGACGCTTCCATTTGCCGAGCCTCCACCCCCTCTATTTGTCGGTGGATAGTTGAATTTGGGATCAGGATGTCGGATCCAACGCCGCCACGCCCAGATTTGGAGTCGCCGGCAGTCGCCCAAGGCCGGCGACACCATCGTCGCTTTCAATCTTCACATTGCGACCTCTCCGTCTATCTCTGCGTTGGTCAGTCATTTGGGCCAAAATCTTCCCTTTTCTCTGTTTCTAATGAAACTCTAGCACTAAAATGGCGACCAGAGGTAGCAGATCGGAGAAGGTGAAGCGAATTTTCCAGCATTTGATGGGAACCGTGATGGAGGGCTCAACAGGGAGGAAATGGTCGCGCTCGCGGTGGCCGTGAACCCGAGGGTCAAGTTCAAGACCTAGGGCGAGTGCATTGACGGCGAGAAGGGGCTCACCTATGAGGGCTTGTTGAGGACCTACGATAACGGCACCGGCGACGTGGACCGCTACTTCAACGTGCTGGGCCTCGAGCTCAATTCCGCCGACGCCAAGAACAAGGAAGTGAGGTCGGGCGCGGACGAGGTGTCGTCGTCGATTGTTGACGAGAGGGCAATGGAGATGCAGAAGAAGCAGAGGACAGCAACTTGGGCTGGTGTCGCCTAACCATGGGGTGGCGTTTGCGGATGATTTGGAGATTTAGGTGAAGAGGTTGAAGGCGAAGGATGAAGAAGGTGAATGGCGGAAAGTGAAAGAGAGAAGATAATGAAAAAACAAAAAAGAAAGAAAGAAAGAAACAGTCAACCCAAGCTGACGTGGGAAAAGAAGATAGACACGTGGATGACAAGTTGGAAAAAAATTGTCAACATTTGGACAGAAAATTAACCTAGGGCAGATTTGGGTTTAAAATAAAAGTTTGTGATTTTTTATGAGACAAAAAAAAGTTTAGGGTAGACTTGGGATAACACCTAAAGTTTGGGGTTTTTTTGGGAATTAGGCCTAAAAAATAAGATGCTTGGTTTTGAGTAACTTACATATTAAATTTGATGGAGCTTTTGGAGTCATTCGAGTACCTTTCATGGCTTCTGGCTTTTCAGCATGAGGCTCTAAAGCTTCCACTAGGTTTCTATTGCTTATTATGGGTGAAGCTGCCGATGTGATTCACCGCTTAAAACAAATTGCTGCATATGATGAATGAATAACTGTACAATCTAACAAGATATTATCATGATGGAATTTTATCGCTGATTTCCTGCTTTGCTGGGCTGATCTGTTCCTTCTAAATGTCCAAAACAATGTCATTATGATTGCTTTTGTTAGCTATTCTATAATTCTTGTGTGGACACTGTTAGTTTCTTACAATGTTCAACTGCAGTCTCTGATGATCGCTGCAATCCCTAATGTCGTAGGGTGGTTGGCAATATCGTTTGCCAAGGTGAGTGATCACTATGTTCAGATAATTCATGAAATTCGATCGACCATAGCTACACCCTTATGTACTCCTTGGCTGCTTCTGTAGGATTCCTCAATCTTATACATGGGAAGGTTGTTGGGGGGATTTGGAGTGGGTGTAATTTCTTACGTGGTAATCTTTGGAAACCTCTTTCTTGTTAAACCGCTTCACTTGCATTTGGCAGCAGTGTGACAATTCTCAATTCTGGCCCTTGGTGTCTTATCGGTGCCGGTTTACATAGCTGAGATATCGCCTGAGAACATGAGAGGAACCCTTGGATCTGTGAATCAGGTCAACACGCCCACCACTTTCATCTTTAAGCAGACGTGATACCTTTTCTTTTATTAGTTTTGAAGTTGTTTCAACAAATCATGGAAAATGCTTCATTTCCCTTTTTGGTAGCTCTCAGTCACAATCGGAACGTTGTTGGCTTACCTTTTTGGACTATTTCTCAACTGGAGGATCCTTGCTATCATGGGTAAGTCCATGAAGAGAAAATCATCTATTCAAAGAGGAGTATATGATGCTGGATGTACTTAACTTCGGACACAAGACTTTCAACGTAAAAAAGCTCTCTTTTTTTTTTGTGCTAAAAACATACAATGCTTTTGGACATCTGTAATGCCCACAATAATTTTGCTAATTAATTTTGAACATAACACTGCAATATATAACGAACAACAGTTCATTTGTTTTACAAACGATGGTGTTTCTTTTATAAGGTTATTGGCCAAGTACACTCATCAGTTTTCTGAGGCCACACTCAACTCACTTATTTCTAGTTATATTGCTTGATTTTAATTTTTAATATTATTTGCAGGGTCTCTGCCATGTGCAATATTGATTCCTGGCTTATTTTTCATCCCAGAGTCTCCTCGATGGTTGGTATGAAATCTGATATGATTTTTTCTGTAATTAATTCTTTGTTTTAACCCACCCTTTTTATTTACTTCCTGCTCTCATTTCTCTATTCACAGTTTTCTTATATCTCTTCTGCTTTATGTTCATTGGAATGGAAAATGCTGCAGGCCAAAATGGGTTTGACAGAGGAATTTGAAGCCTCTTTGCAGGTCCTACGGGGATTTGATACTGATATTTCCCTTGAATTTAATGAAATCAAGGTATCGAAAAGCTTTTCCAACTTGAAAGTTGTGACATTAAAAAATTGTCATCAGTGCAGTTCTTTGAGCCTTTTCTACTGCAAAAGAACTTGATATAGTTTGCTATAGATAATGGATCTACTTATGTTTCAACTTCTCTCTTTACAAAGTGATATCAGTTGTAATAAATTATACACTTCACGCAGAGCTCTGTTGCATCAACAAGCCAAAGAGCAAGGATCAGGTTTGCAGAGCTCAAGAAGAAAGGATATTGGTTTCCTTTAATGGTAAATGTTTCACTTGAATCTATCTTGAACTTTATTTTCTCATACCTTGACATCTTGTCCCTTCTTGTGTAAAATGTATGTGTTGCAGGTAGCAATCGGACTACTTATGCACCGGCAACTCAGTGGCATCAATGGTGTTTTCTTCTATTCCACCACAATATTTGAAAGTACAGGTGGCGACCGATTGTGTTGCATTGCAACCTTATTTTAATGTAACTAGAGCGAAGAACTGAATTTTATTAGAACCTGCAACTTTAAATCTTTCTCTTTTTCAATGTTATTGTTAAATATGTTTTGAATTTTATGTTCTTGGTCCAATTCAACACCCCGCTCGACATATTTTTGTGCGACCCGAAAATTGAGATTTAGTTCACGATGCGGAGAGTTGGGCCGATAGGCCCAACTCGTAGCAAGTGAACAAATCTCTATGGCGGTCCGCCTGAGCTGGAGCAACGAACAAATGTCTCGGGGGGTTCGGGGGCTACACCCCCGAGGAAATTTTGTTGGAGAGCACTATTTATACCGCGGCTAGGTTTTCTCATTGATGTACAGAGAGAATTTTGTTTCAGGAGAGTTTTGTGAGCCGTGAGTTTTTTGTCGTTGTTTCGACTTCTGAAAATTGTACTCTCTTTGATTATAGTGGAATTTTGTCTTGCCTCGCCCGTGGACGTAGATCACGTTGTGATCGAACCACGTAAATCCCTGTGTTCTGTGTTTGTTCTTCCACATCTGTTTACAACAGTTATCATTAAGGACTAAGCTGAAAACTATTCATTATGCTCTTCTCCCCAGAAAGATTCAATTTGTCTGTACTTTTTTTTCTAATTGAGGATGCAGTTATCACATTATGTTAGGTTTAATTAAGCAGAATAGTAATCGAATGTTTACTTTTTCTGTCTAAATAGACTTGAATAGAGGACTATCAATTGAAGTTGGAGAAAAGCCCTAAACTTGAACTATGCAAGATTTGTTGAAAGAATTGATTGATATTAATTATCAATAGTTCAATCAATTAGCCTATTTCATTCCCCAGAGGATACTACTGGCAGATTCTACAAGCCTGCAAAAAAACAAGAAATTTCTCTTTTAGATTCTGCTTTAGTCAGGATGAGCAAATACATGCTGATCTCTGCTGTTGTTCTGAATAGCATCTGTTGACGGATGCGACCCAATAAAGCTTCTCTTGGTTGATTAGGCTTCTATTAATGTGCATCGATTTTGAATAGGGATTTCTTCAAGTAATGTCGCAACTGTTGGACTCGGTGCTATCCAGGTAAATTGACAATTCTCTCGGTGGTAGCAGTTAAACAATGCAAAAAACTTTTTGAGCTAATCTGAGGTGTAAGGACCCTTCATGCTGTAGGTTCTCGCCACTGGGGTTGCGACTTGTCTCCCGGATAAAGCAGGCCGAAGGCTGCTCCTCATAGTGAGTATGACTAGATTCTCACTAAAGTTAAGATTCTATAAAACAAGCTCAAATTGGGTATCTAAATCTGTTTTTGCAGGTATCCTCATCCGCAATGACTTTGAGCCTTCTGTTTGTGGCTGTGGCGTTCTATATGGAGGTGAGCATTGCTGTTACTAGAACCCTTTCGGTTCCGAGGCAATGGCTGCTTTTTGAGACATTGTTCTTCCATATTCCAGAGTTCTGCTTCAGAAGACTCTAAATTATACAGCATAATGGGCATATTGTCGGTGGTTGGGCTTGTGGTGTGATCATTTATACTCACTGTTTGTACTTATTCATCGTGCTTAATAAGTTTGAGGGTATGTTCTGAGTGTCATCATATCCAGGCCTTTGTTGTTGCCTTCTCTCTGGGACTGGGATCTATTCCATGGCTTATTATGTCTGAGGTAAGCACAAATCCATAGTCATTTCAATAAATTAATAACAGGGAATATGTCCTAGCATCTTTTTGCATGCCAGATTCTTCCGGCAGATATTAAGGGCCTCGCCGGTAGCATGGCAACTTTGGCAAACTGGATAACAACGTGGATAATCACGTTGACAGCAAACTTACTGTTGGATTGGAGCGCCGGAGGTTCTCTCTCACTCCCTCCCTCTCCCCTGCAATGCGCTCTCCCATGCTTTAACACTTATTGCTGACTGACACGGCCTTTGAAATTTTGGACAGGTACCTTCACAATCTATGCAGTTGTGGCTGCTTGTAGTGTTGTCTTTGTGATACTCTTTGTCCCAGAAACAAAGGGGAGAACTCTGGAAGAGATTCAGTCGTCGTTTTAGATGATTCTTGCCTCTTTTTCTCACATTCATTTTTGCTGTTTAATAACATGGTAGAGATGCGGGAGCATCAAATTCCATTGATAATAACCAATCACAAGCGCACCTCAAAAGTTCTTCATCCTTAATTAGTGGACCGCTCCTTCATGCATTGGTTGCAAACTCTTCTTTTCAAAGTTATTTTCCGTCAAACATACCAACCACTTTCGTTCCATCAAACACGCTCGCCATCGCCATTCTCCTCATCACGCATTAGCTGGCTCGAAATTATTCATTTCACGCAATCTTGACTGAAAACTTGAGAAGAAGACAGCATTCGTATTGAGAAAGAGTTTTGTCCAAAATTGAATTCATTCCATTAGACTCCATTTGTTTCACAAAATAAGTTGTTTGGAAAATGTTTTCTAGAAAGTAATTTTCCAGGGAAATGGCAATAATTTTCAAGTTTTGACTGAAATCTGAAAAATAACCTATAAATATTTTCCATCGTTTGGAAAAGAAAATCTAATTTGATTTTTCTAAATAAACATACACTATTTGGGTGCTAGTGACTTGCGCACGATAGCTAGGAACTAGGTACGGGCATCGGAGTCCCAAGTCCAACCTCAATGGACCAGCGCCCGGGACCGAGCATCGAGGACCTAGTCCCGACACGGGGATCCAGATCAGGCGCCGTCCTAGATCCGACTTCGATGAACCCAGGGTTGAGCATTGGGGACCCAATCCCAGGCCTAGCCTCGATGGATCCAAGTTCACGTGTAGGGGATCCGGGCACGAGCACTGGGTCTCGAGCTTGGGTGTACTCGAGCACGGGCACTGGATCTCAGGCCCAATCTCAATGGACCTAGGCATGGGTACCATGGTCTCGGGCCCGACCATTGGGGTCTCAAGCCCGATCATGATGAATTTGGGCTCAAGTATCGGGGAACCGGGTATGGACACTAGGATCCCACGACTTGGCCTCGATGGACTTGAGCTTAGGCATGGCATAGGTACGAGCATTAAGATTCCAAGCTTGGCCTTGATGGACTTGGACTCAGACTTGGGCTCAGGCGCCGAGGATCCAAGCATAGGTTTTGGGGTCTAGAGCCTAGCTTCTATAAACTCGGGCTCGGCCTCCTTGGACCGAGGCACACGCGCCGAAACCTGGGGCATGGACATCAGGGTCTCAAGCTTGGCCTCTATGGACCCAGTTCAAGACACCGAGGAGCCAAGCAACGGTACTAGGTACCAAGGGTTGGATTCTGTGGACCTGGGGTCGAGCGTCGGGATCCGGCCACGGTGCCAAGGTCCTAGGCACTTGCGCCGGAGTCCCAAGCCCCACCTTTGTTGACCCAAGCCTAGGCTTTAGGGTTCCGAGCTTGGCCTCGATGGATCCTGGTGGACTCGACCTCAGCTTCTAGACCTTTGTCTGCTGTGAATGGCCCAAGAGCGAGCATTGGGGTTCTCATGCTCAAGTGTGGAGTTTCAAGTTCAAACGCTGATATTTAGTCATATTCCGAAAAATGATTTATGATATTTTATAGAAAAAATCATTTTCCTGAATTTATTCATAGGTTTTTTTGTTAACGAGGAAAATATTTTTTGTTGACTCATTTTCTTAAGCAATCCAAATGCCGAAAAATGAGGAAAATGTTTTCGCAAAAAATGTTTTTCGTGAAACAAACAGAGTCATAATGTAAAGATGATATTGAACATTTTTAAAAAATCCCAAATATCTAATTGAACTAGTTGAAAGTTTAAAGAGAATATTAAACATCGATTAAAAGTTTATGAACCAAACTGAAGCAATAGATAATTTAAAAAAGACATCACTCGTTGACAAAATTTGAGGACCGGTAATGTCATTCTCTCTCGGATATTTGGGAATTTTACTATTCATCGAGTTTAGATGATTTTCTCACCCCCACCATACCACATTAAGAGTTTTGATTTATCAGTTTTTCTCTGGGAGGAGACAATCAATATTCTAAAATGTACTTCGAGTCAAGCTATTGTTAGGTACATTAGATCTAGTTTAAACGATGAATGCCAGATTTTAAATCAGGTGAATTTCCTCTGGAATTCACCTCATTCAAACTTTTTTCTCGTCGGGAATGAGACTTAGGTAAACGTGAAGAATACATAAACGATGTTTCAGAAAATAACAAATTCCAAAGAGTTTGCAGAGAGAGGCAATCCAATTTCGTGGTAGGGCTTTTCATCTTTGGGCTTCAACAACTCACTCAACTACTTTATCGGACTCTCTCAGACAGTGAGACAATGGGCTAGCTGAATATCCGACATTCGAAGCCATGGATCACGGCTTTCTCCGATACGTACTCTCACTTTCCACTTTGGCTGATCTGAGCTCGTCAGTGCGCTTATAAAATCAAAGCAATCCGACCTAAGAAGAAGAAGACTCTCTCGCTTTCCGGAAGTAAAACACATTCAGGTTTTAAGAAGAGCAAACAAAATGAATCAAGATTGCACATAAATAAGCACCAACAATTTGGTCCCACATCACGGTGATTGTTGTCATTATAAGTTAGATTTCCTCTCTCATCTTCATTTTCTAATTTTCTTGAGATCTTGCTTTTAAAAAAAATTTGAGGATCCAAGCAATGTCCTCAACTAAGCTTCAAAGTCACTGGCAAAACATGTTCCTTCTAGCTGTCCTAAACAAACATCACTATGATTGCTTTTGTTAGGTATTCTATGATTCTGATGTCGACACTGTTAATTTCTTACCATGTTCATCTGCAGTCTCTGATGATTGCTGCAGTCCCTAATGTTATAGAGTGGCTATTAATATCATTTGCGAAGGTGAGTGATCATTATGGTCAGATAATTCATGAAATTCAATAGACCGCAGCTGCCTCCTCATGTACTCCTTGGCTGCTTCTGTAGGATTCCTTACTCTTATACATAGGAAGGTTGTTGGGGGGATTCAGTGTGGGTGTGATTTCTCATGTGGTAATCTTTGGAAAGCATTATCTTACTAAACCCTTTAAACTTGCACTTGGCAGCAGTGTGACAAATCTCAATTCTGATACTTTTCTTGGTATCAATAGGTGCTGGTATATATAGTTGAGATATCGCCTAACAACATGAGAGGAACCCTAGGATCTGTGAATCAGGTCAATACACCTATCACTTTTAATCATTTGCTTGACGTGATACCTTTTCTTTTAATAGTTTCGAAGTTGTTTTTAACAAATCATGGAAAATGCTTCATTTCCCTTTCCTTTAATAGCTCTCAGTTACAATGGGATCATTGTCGGCTTACCTTTTTGGGCTATTTCTCAACTGGAAGATCTTGCAATCTTGGGTCAGTCCATGAAGAGAAAATCATCTTTTGGAAGAGGAGTATATGATGCTGGATGTACTTAACTTCTGACACTATTACATGACTTCCTACTTGTTGATCGAATTATACAGGTTTCCTATTCCATGTTAAAGTTGGCTATTGTACACCCCATGGATTTTATATTATATATTCTCCTCTTTGGTCAGATTGTAGAAGTAGTTGGTGCAGAATCCATAAGGAAGTTATGACCGCTTGTTTGTGTGCTAATATTGGTCAGCATGCAATCCAAGGCGGGCTTCACTCGTGAATTACATCCTGGTGAAACTGAAGAGTGTTTAGTGTAAATCTTGTGAGTTTCAGATTTGTTAATTCCTTTGTGAGATTGAGTGAAGAATTGTGGAGCTAAACACCGTGAAAGTTATTGGCTGTGATTGGGGATTGAGAAACACTAAGAGTGTTTGATTGACTCGAGTGTTGTTCTAATCTCCATTATATCACTTGACGCATAGTGAAATTCTAGACTGCTCTCACTGTGGACGTAGGTCACCTCGATCGAACCACGTAAATCTGGTGTTCGATCTATTTTCTTATTCTATCTATTTTATTGTTCGATTCCTTATTTCTGCAACAATTGGTATCAGAACTCGGCTTGGCAAAGTTGAAGGGAATCAATGGTGACAGAAAAAGGAAAAGTGAAAATTGACAAATTTGAAGGGAAAGATTTTGGTTTTTAGAAGATGCAGATTGAGGATTATCTGTATCAGATAAAACTGCATTTGCCCTTATCTGGGGAGAAATTTGAGTCGATGATGCAAGCTGAATGGGAATTGATGGATAGACAAGCATTGGGTGTTATTTGGTTGACGTTAGCTTGTAACATTGCGTTTAACATCATAAAAGAGAAGACCATTGCAGGTCTGATGGAAGCCATGTCGTATATGTAAGAGAAGCCATCTACGATCAACAAAGTGCATTTGATGCAACGTCTATTCAACTTGAAAATGAGCGAATGTGCATCAGTTGCAGATCATATCAATGAATTCAATGTAGTCATTAGTCAATTGAGATTGACTTTGAAGACGAGGTACATATTTTGATTCTATTATCGTCATTGCCTGATAGTTGGAATACTACTGTTACTGCCGTTAGTAATTCCTCTAGGTCAACAAGCTTGATGTTTGATGGGGTTCAAGATTTGATTATGAGTTAGGACATCCGTTGAAGAGAATCTGGTGAACCTATATCTACTGTTTTAGTAGGTGAAAATAAAGAAAGAATTGGTACTCGTGTTAGCAAAAATAGTTTAAACCTAAATAGACGTTGTCAATCTTGAACTGGTGGTGTTGTATGATGGAGTTGTGGCAAGAGGTGGCATCTTAGAAGGGATTGCCATAAACTGAAGAGCGAGAAGAGTAAGGAAATTAGAATTGAGTCTGCGGATGATGTTGCAGCTGTACCTGACAGTAATTCGGATAATGCTGATTTTGTCTTATTTATAACTGTTTATTCATCATTTGATGGATGGATTATGGATTTTGGTGGTTCCTTTCGTGCTACACCAAAATAGGAACTGGTTCACTACTTATCAATGCACGAATAATAGTAAAGTGCAATTGAGGAACAATGTTAAGTGCAATATTGTAGTTGTTGGCAATGTCAGAATCAGAATGCATAACGGTATCGTGAGGACATTGACTAGAGTGAAACTTGTTCCAAAGTTGAGGAAAAACCTAATTTCTTTGAGTGCCCTAGAGTCAACTATCTGTCGATATACTTCAGAAGGTGGAATTCTGAAAGTTGT